GGGGGGGGGGGGGGGGTAGGGGGTGTGTGCTAAAAATCAGGCTTAGTCATTAAAAATTTGGCTCCTTTACTAAAAGTCAGGGTCCTTTGCAGATGTCCTGGGTAAATGGCAAAGCTGCAGGCGGGGGAAGATGCTTCACCTCCTGCTCATCCCTAAATCCCACCCTGGACCACATGGCTGTAGGAAGCCAGACTCCAGCCAGGGCTATGATGCAGGGAGAGGAGAATCCATGGGAGCAGAGGATGGGTTCTGAGGGGTATTTTTGGCATGGAGCTGGGGGCCATCCTGCACAAAATGAGGTGGTCGTGCCTCAGTTTCCCTTTCCCTTGTAGCCTGTTGCATCCTCCTGCATCCCTCCTCAGGGCTTTGGTTGAAAACACCAGGAAATTTGGGAAAGGAGTGATGCCAGAAGGGAGGAAAATCCCCAGCAAGGACAAATCACTGTAACCCATTCCCCTCCTGCCACATCCCACCAGAGCAGTTGGACTCAGCACCAAGTTCAACGGGGGGAAAAAACAAACAAACAAAGGGAAAATGAAATGAGGTGGAAATGAGTTGGCATTGGATGATCCAGTGCCAGCAGCTGTGGGGGTGAGCCTTTGTTTTGCCCCAGAAGCACTTGAAAGGACTTAAAGGAGTTTTGGGGGCTTATTTGGAAGCTGTAGATTTGAGGGGGGAGGATGCTCCTGTCAGAGCATGGCACGGCTCCACGAAGTTGCTCGGGTTGTTTTACCGTTGTGAAAGGTGAGGATGGGTCCAGGGTGGAAATGATATGTCCAGGGTGGAAACGTTATAGCCAGGGGTGGAAATCCTATAGCCAAAAGAGAAATCCTATAGCCAGGGGAAGGAAATCCTATATCTAGGAAAGAAAGCCTATATTCAAGGGAGAAATCCTATATATGCGGAGGTGGGGGAGAACAACCTATATCCAGGGGAGAAACCCTATATACAGGTGGGAGAAACCTATATCCAGGGGAGAAATACTATATCTGGAGAAGGGAATCCTATAGTCAAGGGAGAAAACCTATACATGGAAGGGCATATCCTATATCCAGGCAAGAAATCCTATATCCAAGAGAGAAATCCTATATTAGGAGACAGGAAATCCTATATCCAGGGAAGAAATACCATATACAGGTGGAGGAAATCTATATATGTGGGGGCATTTCCTCTATCCAGGGGATAAATCCTATATTCAGGGAAGAAATCCTACATACAGGTGGCAGAAACCTATATCCAAGTTGAGAAATCGTGTATATAGGTAGGAAAAACATCTTTTCAGGAGAAAAAAAATCATATATCCAGGGGAGACATCCTATATTCAGGGGAGAAAACCCATAAACAGGGGGCCATATCCTATGTCGACAGGAGAAATCCTATATCCAATGGAAAAACACCATATCCGTGGGGTGAAAACCTCTATGCAGCTTATTAAAACTTGTATCTAGGGGAGAAATTCTATATTCGGGAGAAATCCTACATATGAAGGGAAAAGTCCTATACATAGGCAAGAAATCCTATATGCAGGCAGGATAAATCCTATATCCAGGGTGGGCTTTGCCTCTCTGGAGGTGCCCAGAAGGAAAGATGGGGGCTTTTTCCTGTGCTGCTGTCTTAGCAAGAGGGGGAAAATGGGGGAAAAAAGTGGGAAAAGGGAAAAAAAAAAAGAGAAAGAGGGGGGGAAGGGGGGAAAGGCAGGAAAAGTCAGGGGATCAGGGAGAAAGGGGAAAAGGATGTGGGTTTTTCCCCAAGCCGGCTGGTGGCCAGGAGGGAGGGGAGCTCACCCTCGGGTGAGGAGAGAGGGGTGCAACCCCAATTAAGCCCTTTATCCATACGCAACCCCGATCCCACCTGTAGAGCAATTGTGGGATGGGGGGAAGAAAAAGCCAAATAAAAGCTGGATTCGAGGACAGGGGTTTTTCCTCAGTGGGCTGCGGGGTGCAGGATGCTGGCCGCGCTGTGGCCCCGCTGGGATGGATTCCGAAGTGGGGATTTGGGGGGGCTGCAGCAGCGCTGGCGGGGTCGCGGACCCGGGTGAGCTCCTGGTGGG